GTTTGTAACTCCAGCTCCAAGGGACACCTGCACACCTGTGTGAATATATATACACACACATACATACATACATACACACAAATAAATAAAATAATAAAACAGCCATTGGAGATGAAGGCAAGAGGATCATATACCAAGTTCAAGGCCAGCTTGAGCTACGTGAAACCCTGTGCAAAAAAAAAGCTAGGTGGTGGTGACATTGGCACACACCTTTAATCCCAGCAATCAGAAGCCAAAGGAAGATTTCTAAGACCAGTCTGGTCTACAGAGCAAATTCCAGAACAACCAGAACTACACAGGAAAAACTCTGTCTCAAAAAATAAAAAATGAATAAAATAAAGAGTGGAGGTAGGCTGATGTGGTGTGTAGAATACTGCACTCACATTAACACTAATTTTATTTAAGTTTTTAAAGCTTTAATTCTTTTAGTGTGTGTGTGTGTGTGTGTGTGTGTGTGTGTGTGTGTGTGTGTGTTGTCACAGAAGAGGGCATGACATCATATCCCCTGGAGCTGCAGCTATAGGCAGTTGAGTACCCTGGTGCAGGTTCTGGCAACCACAGAGCAACCTTGACTCAGGTCCTCTGGACGAGCATTTGTATGCTCTCTAAACTGCTGAGCCACATTTCCAGATCCCAGTTTTCAAACCCCTGTAACAAGCGGCAATGTGGAGGACATTCACTTCTGGAACATGCTTACCTCAAAGCCTGCAGCTCTATCTACTCCTGTGGAATGCACTGGGTACACCCAAACTCAAGATACACTACAGCGGGGCGGTGGTGGCGAACGCCTTTCATCCCAGCACTCGGGAGGCAGAGGCAGGCGGATCTCTGTGAGTTCGAGGCCGGGCTGGACCGATAGCCTCCAAAACAATGCAGAGAAACCCCGTCTCGTAAAAACAAAAAAAAAAAAACAAAAAAAAAGATATACTACAAAAGATTCTACCAGTTCTTCCCAACACTGTCAAGGTCAAAAACTGAAGAAAAGTCTAAGAAACTCAGACCAAAGGATGCTAAAAAGACATGCAACCCAAAAGCAACCTGGAATCCTAGGAACAAAAAGAGACATTAACATAAAAAATAAAAAAGTACAATTCAGCCTAGAATGTGCTGACTTCTATCTATTATTTTTTATTATTCACATGTTAAATAGATTTTGGGGTTTTAATTTTATTTTTTTATTATACTTTTTGGGGGAGTGGTTTCAAGACAGGGTTTCTCTGTATAATAAATAGCCTTGACTGTCCTGGAACTTGCTTTGTAGACCAGATTGGCCACAAACTCAGGGATCCACCTGCCCCTGCCTCTCAAGTGGTGGGATTAAAGATGTGCAGCACCTCGCCCACCTATTTACTTTTTTAATTTTTTGTGTGCCACACATGTATGGGTTCCCATAGGAGCCAGAAACGGGTGTCAGATCCCCTGGGGCTGAAGTTACAGGCTATGTGTGCCACCCAGCAAACATGGGTGCTGGGAACTGAACTTGTGCCCTCTGCAAGACCAGCAAGCACTCTTAGCTGCTATACCATCTCTCCAGCCACCAAGTTTGAGTTCTTTTTTTTTTTTTTTTTTTGGTTTTTACGAGACAGGGTTTCTCTGTTTTGGAGGCTTGATTTCTTATTTTTGACGAATGTACATTAGCTCTCTGAGATATTAAAGGGCCTTGTGTGAGAGCTGTTCGGGGAATTTTTTTTTAAGTTCTTAAAACAGACCAAGCTGGATGTGGTACCTGAAGAGTACAGCTGAAGTTTCCCTCTGGTTGCCACACACAGGAGAACACAAATGCAACACACGCACGCACGCACACACACACACTCGCGCGCGCACACACCCTCATTTTTAGATACACCCACTGACTACTTAGTAAATGAAATGACAGGATGTTCAGGTTTGCTTCAGAGCAATGTGTTGGCTGGGAGGGGGAAGAATACAGGTGAAATAGGTCAGCCTTAAATTGGCTAAGCTGAAGCTGAATGGTGGGTAGCCAGGAATCAGAAGATGAAAGGCTCTGGTCTTATGGTTGAAAACCTGCAGAACAAGGAATACTGACATAAGCAGCTCTTCCTGATACAAGTACCTTTATCCTACCCACTGGATCGCAGCCATGCAAAGTGCCCACCTGACTAATTGGATCTCCTTTTTGTTGGCATTAGAAGGCCATAAAGCATTCATTCATGAAAAAAAAAGTTGACAGTAAATAAGTAAGCCTGGCCTCTGGAGCTAGGCTGCCTGGGAAGTCACTGAATCTGTCTGTGAACTGCAGCTTCTCACCTGAAAACTAGAAGACACTGTAGCTGTCACAAAGGGCCGTGAAATTTTCATAAGCCAGGATGGGGCACACTGGCTACCATCATCATCTTATGAAGCAAAAAATAGCCATAGCCAAAGCCCATCTAGCACCCTTTCTCTATGCTCTTATCCTGCTCAGTGCTGCCCCTCCCCCTACCTTCCTTCACAGAGAGAACTTTGAGCCAGGAAGGGCTTCCAGAGAGAAAGGAAGACCTCAGTTCCCAATCCCAAAAGCACTCAGAATAGCACTGTAACTCAGCTAGAATGTTTTCCCAGTATGCACAAGGCCTTGGGCTTGGCCCCCAGCACCCCATAAAACTAGGTGTGGTGCTGAATGCCTGTTATCCCTGCATTACAGAGGTGGAGACAAGATCAGAACGTCAGAGTCACCCTTGACTACATGACAAATGTGAGGACAATATAGGCTACATGGGGGGGATGGGGGGCACCTCCGACTGAGACTAGGTGGGGATCTGAGTGTGCTGGGAATAGACCATTGTTTATGAGCCACTGTCAGCAGACACCTGCCAGGCCAGTGCAGGCTACTATCAGAAGTCATTGGACACCTACTGCTTGCCAAACACTGAGAACAAGACTTGGGACCCAGATGAAGATGGCTAGACCCAGGCAAGGAGGTAGAGACACGAGAACCAGATATTCAAGGTCATCTTCAGCCACATAGTTTAGAGGCCAGCCCCTGAAGGACCCTGCCCACTCAGACTATATGTGACAAAACTACTATGCCTTTAGAATTACCTGGAAGAGTGGAACAATGTAGCCATTTTACAAGATTCCTAAGGGACAAGTTAGATAAAATTTAGCCAACCACAGACTCATAAGTCAATTTCATTCAATTCCACAAAGCCCATTGCAGAGTCTCACTCCTTCAGAAAGCTCTGTGATACCCTTCTGCCACCAGACACTATGCTAATGTGATAACCTAACGCAGAGGGGGGTGCAGCATGACAAGGAAGGCACAGCCCCTGATTCCATGGAGTATATGATGGAAAGTGGAAACATGGTAATAAAGGGCATGAGGCTCCTTCAGGGGGAAACGATACTTTGTGGAAAATGTAGGGATGGGGGAGGGGGAGAGTTGAGAGCTGGGACAAGAGATGTCAGGCATGGGAGGGAACAGGAGAGGTCTAAGGGTTGAAAACCAACCAGTATGGTGGAAAGGATGCAAGTGGGGAGTCAGAGGTCAAGGAGTGGGCCCTGCAGAACTTTGGGTCCTTTAAGATGTGAGATCTTGTAGGGAAAATGTAGGGGTGAGCCCACCGTGGGCGTGGTCAGGGGTACGTGGGACAGGTGGAATACAAAAGGAAAGGAAAAGCAAAAGCTCTCTCTCTTGGAAGCTAGCCACGTTCCCGGAGCTCCTATCTCCCTGTAGGTAACTTTCAATATTCACTAAATATCTTAGACCTCCTTTTTAGATAGCATTATTTCATCATCAGCGTCTGTATCTCACAAGTAGAGAAAACCACTGCAGGCTGTTTCAGGATGCTGTGAATATGGGAATCACCTGATCAGACCTGCATTGCTGAGACTCTGCCTTAGAGAGAAGGGAATGATTGGAAGAGGGCCAGAACAGGACAGGAAGCCGGAGGATCTGTCAGAGGCTCCCATATTGGCCCAAGTAATAGATGCCCAGGTCTGGCTTAGCCTTGAAGAGGGTGGCTGTGAGATTTGTTGGGGAGAAGCAACCACAGCCTCTGGATGGATTGAGAGGGCTAGGAAGTATAAACAGGAACCTAGGTTTATGACTCTGGCATTTGGGTGGCAGGCTGAGCTGTTTGCAGAGGGAGGAGCAGGTGTGGAGGAAGAAGAATTTCTCAGCATGGGTGAATCAGATCTACTGGGCACCCTTTCTTATCAGGCCACTATGCTGCCAGCAGTGGGAACCTGGCAGAGGTTACCGCATACTTCACAGCTGCAGGAACTACACCTCCTCAAACACACTCCCCCAGCGACCAGAGCAAATAGCCCAGTGCAGAAAGCCAATACAGGGTACTTAGTAAATGTCTGTTGAGTAAATGGATGTCCCAAGTGCCAGCCACCCAGATACCAGACACCGGAGAAAGAAACCCTTACTCAGGGCATGTTATTAAAGCCTATCTGCCCTGGGGTAAGATCAACCCCTTTTCTCAAAGTTGAAGGGCCACTGGGAATACTATGGAAGAGAAAGCTACGAGGTTCCCACCAGGGGTGCAGGAGGGAGTTTGGCTTTCTGATAGGATCACAGGGTGGTGGTTCCAAAGACATCAAGTGTTTCCCAGTGCGGGGTACCTGCCTGGCTTGAAGGATGAGCAGAATAGGGAGTGGAGACAAATAAAGAGTCGCAGGCACCCCTAACCGCGTCGCCATAGGTGGCATTTTATACTAGCTGGGACATTATTCTCTCCAGATTCCTCCATGCTGAGACAGTCTATTTTTAAAAGAAATCAAGTCCCATTTAAAAACTCCAGGGACATATTTTCAGAAAGCTCAGCTCGGTGAAGTTGGGGGCTGAATTTGGACCCAGTCTCACCTCCACGCCTCCCCCTCCCCCGAAAGTCACTGCATCCACCTTGGTAGCATTTCCTTTCTTCGTTCAAAGTTCTCCCTAGCACATCTGCTACCACCACTCCTGGCAAGCTCAGGCTCACTTCTGCTCTGGAGACAGCCAGAGGGTCTGCTGTGTTGGAAATGCGCTCCCAGGCCCCTGGCTCACAGACCTGGATCTCCGGTTCCATGGCCGAGTTAGTGATGCCCTGCCAGGTTCCTGGGTTTGTGTGCCCGGGGGTTAGGCTAACCACAGTCACGATGCACCTTGAAGAGCCCAAGCGGGTGTGGATGGGGGCCAGCGCTGCGCAGCGCCTGGGAACAACGAGTGCGGGACTGGGTCGCGCTTGGGACCCTCGGGAGGAGCGCGGTGGCTCTGGAGAATGACACAGCGTTTCCCGGCACCTGGCTCTCTCCAGCGTCCCAGCCGCATCCCCGCAGAGCACGCTAGCAGGCCGGCTGGTCTTGTCACTGAAGCCCCAACCCCGGGATGGGGATCGGGTCGCTGCACCCGTGCACGCGGTCCCATCCTAGGATGCACGTAGCACCCTGCTGGAGGTCGAGGAACCAGAGCGTGACCGTGAGGCGTGACCGGGGAGTTTTGCCCCGCGACTGTCCCGCAGCTCACAAGGAAGGTCGGTCTCACTCGGGGAGAAGTTGAGAAGCGTCCCAGCTACACCACCTACCCAAGCAGCGCAGGACTGGAACTTTGCACCTAAGGCGCACTTGCCAGAGCGACCCTTCAGAGCCGCTCGGACCCGGGACCCGCGACCCGCGTGGCCAATCACCGCGCGACGCAGACGGGGGCGGTGGCAGGGCGCGGGCATCCTCGGAGTGACTGCGCCACCCGCCAATAGAAAGCCATGGTGGGAGACCTCGCCCATTCGGTTGACCAATGGAGAAAGAGCGGCTGCAGCTGAGGTCCCCGCACTAGCTGTAGGCTCCGGTGGCCGCGGGTTAGAGACCCTAGGGCTGAAGTGACTTTGTAGGAGAATTGACTCGGCCCCCTCCCCTGTGCCTTCCTCCCACCTGCGGGCCGCAGCCCGGATCTCACCTGCTGAAAGCGGGGCTTGCCCAGCTGGAAAGGGGGCGCATCGGTGGAGGCGTTTGCGGGACTGGCCGCCGCCGCCGAGGCTGTGGTCGTTGTATCCGCCATGGCCACTGACGCCCGCAATCTCCAGCCCTTTTAAAATGTCCCTCCTCGGCCCCCGCCACAGTTGCCTCTCCCGATTGGCCGTGAGCAACCGCAGCGAGCTGGGCGCGCACGGCCTTGTGGGAAGTGTAGTTTGCCCCAGCTCTGAGCCCGACAACCCGGGACTGCGGAGAGCAGCACCCACGCAGACCAGGTCTTGGTTCCCGCCTCCAAAGCAGCAGGCATCGACATTGCTTGGAATGTGTGCAGGTGCGGGTGTACTCGCGGCGCTGAGTTCTAAGACCAGGAATCTCCTATAATCGCGGGCCCGACCCGGGATCAGAGAGGCAAGGACTCCTGGAAAAGTGGGGTTAATTCAGAAGGCCTTCAGCAAGGAGTCGCACTGCGGGGATTTTCCTGCAGTTTCTTCTGTCATAACCCTGCCTCCAGCCAGTCTGTCACTCTGCCACTCTCTTAAACAAGCCCTGCCCAAGCTGCTATGACCCTTGAGTATTCTACTCGTACTTTTACCATGGTTTAATGCGGTTCTTTTTCTAGACTCCGCCAAAGCATTCAAGGATTCCATCACCCTACATCGACAAAATCCGCTTCAGGATTCTGTACCACGTGGCACTCCTTTGCCTAGTTACATGTAACACAGGCTTGTGATTCTTCTTCCTCTGTCTCCCAAGTCCTGGGATTGTAGGTGCCAGCTAGCAGACCAACTATGGTCTTAAATATCTTTTCTACTATACGATGGTGGGGGGGGGGTGATTTTTTTGGTTGGATAAATCTTCAGTGAGGGTATAGGAGGGCTCACAATAGGAACTCGATGTATTGGGTGAGTTAAGCACCTTGAGAGACTGCACTTTTTTGATCTAAGGAAATCTAATTATCAAGGACCAGCCACGGGGCTTCACTGGGAACTACAGAGCACACTGGGCAATAAGCACACACTCCTGCACAATGGCAGGGAATGGCAACTGCAGTCCCAGCTCAGTCATCTAGTTGATGAGCCAGACTGGGCATAGAGGGTGGGGAGATGCTGATCTCACCCAGGACATAACTACTTGATTCTAGGGGAGCCTCCATCTCATGATGGGGTTCAGAGTTAACTTGGGGTTGTCCTCCTACCTTTCTGGACACTGCATGAGCAACAGGGGACCCAGATGCTCATCCACTCACTAATATCTGAGTCACAAGGAACAGAACTCCCAAATGATCCTAAAGCTGAGGAGAGAGGATGGCTAACCAAAGAACAGTTTTTATCTTTGGTTTGTATCTTATCTTCTCGTACTAAACTCAGTGACTTCAGGACAGAAATCACATGTTTTCCCTCTTTATTCCCCCTCAGCACTTGCTAAATTTATGCCTGTGATCAGTGCCCAGTGAACACAGGCACGGTACGAAGCACTGCCCATGATTTCAAGGCGGTGGCATTGTCATCCCTCTCCCACAGACAGTGTCCTTCACCCGCTCATTTCAAAACACACCAGACCAGCTGTGGTACACGAACTTTTTATTCTTCATAAAGTGCTCAAAACATGAAGAACAAGCTCTTTATAGACAGGAGTTTGAATAGGAAGACAAGCGGCAGAGCAGAGCTGAGCCTGCTCTCTGCCTGCCTGCCTGCTGCACTCTGCAATGTGTGGTGTGGAGCAGACACAAGCAAAACCCTGGCTTCAGGTCAGAACCTCTCCCACGACACCCCTGCCCTGACCACGTGGGGAGGCCAAACAGCAGGGACCGGTGAAAGACGAAGGACAGGGCTGGAACCAAATAAAACCCAGAGGAATACCTAGCACAGGAGCTCACTTCCTCAAGAGACATTCTCCAATGGCCCCACCCCCCAATGTGGTCAAGAATCTGGGAACAGGTGGCTACTTTCCTCATTTCTGAGTTGGCCTGGAGTTGGCAACTGCGCTGTGGGAAACCCCATTGTGGGGTTCATCCACTTTATGCTGGCAGAAGACTGACATCATCCATACTACCCTCCTGAGGTGTTCTGAGTGAACTCATGACCTTGCCATTAAGAGACAGTTGTTGCCTTCCACTGGACCAAAAACATCTTTCTCAGCATCTCACCTCCACCTCCTTCATATGTATGTTTTGCTAATGCACAGCCACCAAGGACCCCTGCAGATGCCATGGGAGACCTGCTGTATCCGCAAGCAAACTAGAAGCTGGACCACAGGGTAGATACTTGGCTTTGAAATGCACTTCAGTCAAGCCAGGAAATGTGGAAGGGGTTGGTGAGCAAGAAGGAGGCTGCACAGCAGCTTACAGAACAGCTAGAGGGCCACAGGCATTTCCTAAGCACAGGTGTCTCCTAAGGCAGAGTGAAGCCTCCCACTCCCAGACAAGCCCACTGGTCCAGTACAGCTGGGACCCAAGGCCAGACACAATAAGGTGCAGGGTAGCCCCAGGCTTACAGAATGCTCCAAATGTGGGTCAAAGGAGGAGCAGGAGGTGGGAGGAAGACTTAGGGGTAGCAGCAGGTTGGTCAGAGCTAAGGCTCTGAGGTACTTCTCAGGGAAGCAAAAAGCCTGGTCCACCTTCCCCTTTCAGGACCCTAACAGCCACTTTCATGTGCTCAATAGGAGGGAGGGGGCACCACGGCCAGAGAGAGGTCTACATCCAGAGGCTCTTGTCCTCACCCACAAAAGGCACATTTTAATTGGTTTCCAAAATTTCTGACCCCACAGTAGCACAGTTTTGGCATCTGGACAAGTGGTAACAACAGACATGGAGGCCTGATCCCCAAAACATGAGAAGCCCAAAGCCCTAACCTGGAGGGTCTCATGTTTGGGAGGTAAGGAGAGGCTCGGGAGCAAAGAGTCATTCTCCCTGCCCCCAGCCCCACCACCCTTCACCACTGGGACATGGAGTGGGGGGTCTGAAGAGGGGTGGGAGCAGTTGAAGACACACACACATATCACCACCGCACTGTATACCTGCTCCACACACTGTCCCAGACAGAAAGAGAGACAAGACTAAAACATACAGGCTCCCTACTCTTAGGGCACAGGCACAAGATTGAGGTGTAGGTGTCCTGGTTGTCTATAGTGCACAGACAAGCAAGCAGCTTGGTCCCCATCCCAGTCCTAGTCAATTCCAGGAGGACCTCCAGGTGCTGGAGGGACATAGACATTAAGGGTCAGCCAAGAAGAAACAACTGACCAACCTTATGGGGTGATTAAATCTGTACGGGCAACAGTATTGCCCTAGATACCACAGCTCACTCCTGTTTCATGTTGACAGCTAATATCCTTGTTCCAATTCTCTAGGGGGCCCCAAAGCTACAAGTGTGAAATGGGCAGATAGGAAAGGCCCAGGCTCTAGTGGGAGCTCAAAGGGGCCCCTTCCAGCCACCGTAGCAGAGGCAGGATGGGGAGGGGAGCAGACAGTGACCATGAGAGCAGCCTGTGCCCAACTGAGGTGAGAGTAGTCAGTGGAGGGTGTGACACAGGTCCTCACCAGCCCTCCAGGGATGGAGTGAGGGGTTACTTGGGGGGAGCAGGGGAAATCTGCAGCAGCGTGGGCGACGTCTCCATGATCCTCACCAGCAGCCGGTCAATGTAGCTCTCCAGCTCCTGCACATGCTCGTCTCTCTGGCTCAGCTCACGCTCACGCTGCAGGAGCAGGCCAATGAGCTCATCATGAGTCAGGTGATAGTACTTGGCCGACTGGTCCGGCATAGCAGAGTCCTATGGCCAGACAGGATGGAAGTAAGAAAGGGAGGCCCAGACCTTCCACCAGCTAGCCCACCGAAACCTGTTTCCCCACTGTAGAACCCCAGACTCTAAGGCCAGAGATCTCGTACCCTATGTCAGAGCTGCGGCATGGAGGACTACCCTTCACACCTCACTTGGCCTCCGTCCATCCCACCACCTGTTCTCTCAGGGGCCTCCTAACACCTTGGTGGGCCTCACCTTCAGCCTCTTAGTGTCCACAGTTGGGCCAAGCTGAGATGCTGGAACCACAGACTGGATGCTGCTGGATGTGACGGTTTTGAGCTTCTCCAGTCCGCTGCTAAGGGCTGTGCTCAGGCTGGTGCGGGGTTGTTTCCTGTCGGGGCTAGCCTCCACAGGGGCAGCGCTGAGGGGCTTCACCGGATGGGGACTGCAAAGACAAGCAGTGATTGTGAGCTCCGAGGAGGGAAGGGGGCACAAAGGTGAAGTCACTGTCTGCATGGCCACCTGACCTGGCCAACAGTTGATGTCTCCAGCGCACAGCATCCTTGTACACCGCACCTCACCCCACCAGCTTCGATCCTGCAGGGACAACTGACCTACGAACTCCTGTACCTGTACCCAGTCTGCCAACCATTTCCCTTCCTTCGTCTTCTATACTTTCTCATTTCCCAACTGTCAAGACTGTGGCTATGAGGATGTCAGGGTTCAAAGCAGGACAGTCCTATAGGTGGGGTGCTTCCTCACCTTTCTCTGAGGGTGGCTTACCATAAGCCCTCGGGATAAGCCTGAAAAACTCCCCTTGACCTTGACCCTTCCTCCTCTCACAACTCTGCCCAGAGCGTGGGGGACTGCTTTTAGTTTCTACCTTCTCACTTTCCTTGAGTACTCAAATCAAGACGTCAGTGCTGCTAGCCCAGGCCAAGTGAACCTGTTGGGTCCCTTCCTTCAACTCTCAAGAGCTCACAGCTACATACACACTGCTCTCCTTCACGACCTGAAGCTGGTGTCCTGACCTCTACCAGCCTCTTCTCAGGCTAAGCTGCTAGCTCCCCGGCTTCTCCTCTCTCCTCCTGGACACCCCGTATCTCCCCAGCTGCAGCCCATTTGTTACCTCAAAGCCAGCCTCGTCCCTGGGGTCCACCTAGTTATACCAAGTTTCCCTCACACCTGCCTTTTCCCAGCAGCAGCCCTCTGGTAGGCCCTACAATTTGTCTTGTCAGCCTCAGCCATCCTCTCCTCTCCTAACTGCACCTGCCCTCCACCCACCCACCCTATATTTTGCTAAAGGATATGGCTTTCCAATTCTGAAAGCTCCTTTAATGGTTCCTTTCTAGGCAGAATCACAAATCCTGTGACAACTTGGTCTCTGCTGTGCCCCCCCAACCCCCCACCCCCGGCCCACAGCTTCATCCCCGCCAGCAATAAACAACGATAATCTTTTGACCATTATAAAAACTGTTTCTAGCTAGACATGGTGACTCACACCTGTGCAAACAGCACATCAGAGGTGGAAGTGTCAGGAGTTTAAGGCCAGCCTCCGCTAGATGAAAGATGAAACTGCCTCAACTACAGCGCCACCCACACCAAAAAAAGGTTGTTTCTCTACCTGGGGTACTTCCCTTCCTTCCAAAAATGTAGTTCTCCCTACTATTTCAAACCTATGTGCTATCACCCTCTCCAGAAAGCCTACTGATTCCCTGAAACTAAGAAAATACTGGGGTGCCTTAGCACCTAGTGTGCAAGCCCTAAGCAGCAGGCCCACGAATCAGCTAACCTGACCTGGTGGAGCCTCATAAATCCACTCTCACACTACAGGGGCTTCAGGCCTTCAGGCAGTGAGTAGGAAGCAAAGCCACTTAGTCTCAATCCTGACTTAGGCTCAGGTCAAACCCAAGAAACAGCACAGCTCCTCGGGACAGGACTGGGGTTTAGTCTCACAAATATGAAAGCCTATCAAGTCTTCACACAAAGCAGAGCAGTCCTGTCACCTTGGGATCTGCACTGGGGATGGTATAAAAGCAGTTCTAAGGCCACCTGCCTAACCAGCCACCCTGGACACATGGAGGTACCCCCTCAGGAAGTAGCTAGAGTGCTGGGCTCTCAGCTTGATCCCCACTCATCTGAGAAACAGAGACAGCACTATGTGCCCATCACTTCACAGGGCAGGGTTCTGAAAAGGAACCCTGTAAGTGAGGAATATAAATAGAGGTTACACTGTAAGACATGGGCCAAATGAAGACACCGTCATCAGGAAATGAGGAAACCACAGCCACCAGCTCCTTCTCCCCATGGGTGGGGGGCACAGCCCCATCCACCACTGGGGGATCAAAATCCCTCCCTGACCTTATTTCTTGGGTGCCACCAGTAGGTGTCGTCGTCGTCCCCCCCCCCCCCCGCTTTCCTTACTGAAATCTCCCTGCTCATCAACCTGGACTCGGAATTCATTGAGCTTGGCACAAAACAGATGCTCAGCAACCCTGGGCAACTGAACATATGAGCCAGCAGGTGTCTGAGCAGGCTGGGGGCCTCACAGAGTCCAGGGCTAGATCCTGAGGAGCACCCCACCCTCACTCCCTCACCTGGCCCAGCTGCTCTGCTCACACTGCCTTCATTCAGGACCCTAGAGCCCTGCTGTCCTACCAGGCTCTGATATCCTTGCTGAGTCACAGTCACTGAAACTTGTTCCCAAGCCCTCTGCCTTCATCACCCTCATCACCCTCTGCTGAAGCCGTGTCCTCTCTGTTCTGGCCAGAGCCTAATGCCATTGAGACCACAGCCACACAGGCATCCGCTGTCCATTCAGCTGCCCTAAAGGGTTAGGAGCCCCACCCAGAAAACCATGGGCAAGGCAAGTCAGAGAGGCGCCTGCTGCGGCTGGAAAGCCTTTTCAGGGGCTATGGTGTGGAGAGCGTTGAAGGAAGGCTTGCTTCCCTTTTTCTGAGACTGTTTTCAGCTGTCTCTAAGTGTCCTAGACCCTCTGCCAGCCCTCTGCTTTCTCACCCTATCTGGACCGGAAACTGCTGTGGGCCTGCTGCTACCTGTTAACACTCCCAAGGCCTGGAAGTATCGCCCCCTCTGTGGAACCCCACTCCCCTAGCCATGGCATCTCTGTACAGCACACATAGCTTTCACCCCCCATCTCCTGCCAGGGCCTGTTGACGCCCCCAAACCTCACTCCTCAACTCCCTATCCTTGTCAGGTGCTATTTCCTAAACCCCAGCTTGTGGGGTCACCCTGAAGGTGCATGGTCCTATATACAATAAACAGCTTCAGATCTGGTCTTACAGAAGCCCGTGGCTTCAAAGCCTTCACCACTTGCCTCCAAATAGAGCAGACCCTTACCATGTGCCCTTGGCAAAGATGAAGCTGGGCTGTGAAACATTCCCACCCCTGTGTCATATGCCCCTCATCCCCGCCCCTTCCTCCTGGGAGGGGTTCTGATGCTCACCTGCCACTGAGCTGGGGCTCCTCAGCTGGTCGTGTCTCCAAGGGCAGAAGCACAAGCGGGGAGGCTGGGGTGGCTGCAGCGCGGTCTTCCCCATATGGTGTAGGGGAGCCCCCAGTGGGGGACAGCTCAAGGGGACCAAGGGGTGAAGCTGGCTCCTCGGGAGGTGAGGAAGAGGTCAAGGGCCAGGCTACAGGCAGAGGAGGGCATGGAGGGCCTGGCACCCCATGGCGGTGGCTGGCCCACGGTGGGAGAGGGGGAGGTGGGAAGGCAGGTTCTGGGGGTGTGGGCAACTCTTCTGGACCAGAGTGGACAGAGGATTCCCTTGACCCTGGTGGTGATATGGATGGGAGGCTGGGGGGATCTTGGCTCTCCTGACATAAGAAGGGATTCAAGGCATCCTCCTCCTCCTCCTCCTCTGAGACCCACAGATCAGCCTGCTGAGGGGTGGCCGAGAGAGGTTCAAACCCCTCTTTGGCTAGCTCCTGGCTCTGGGTTTCAAGGCTCTCACCTGTATCTGAAGTCCCCCAGACCTTCTGACTCAGCAGAGTTGAGCTGGTTGAGCTATGGGATCTGGGGATGGGTCCCTCAAGGCAGCTGGTGGGACTTGGTGGACAGGCCCCAGACCCAGGAGCACCAGTATCTCCTACCAGCTCTTCAAGTTCTAGCTCACCCATCATGGTCCCAGAGGATAAGCTGTGCAATTCCTCCAACTCTGGGTTTACCCCCTCCTCCTTAGACTCTTGGGGACCAACAACCAATTCACTTAGGGTGGTGTCTTCTTCTATCCCTGGCCCCCCACTATTCAGACCCCCTGGAGCATTCTCTTCCTCCTCTTGGTCCTCCTCTTCCTCCTCCTCCACTTGGGAATTTGTGGGTGTGAAGAGGCGTGGTGGCTTGGGAGGTGGTGTGCCAGGCCATGGCCCCTCATCCAATCCCTGCTCAGGCTCTGGCTCCAGCTGCAACGCAGGGTGCCCCTCGCTCTCCATGGGGTACACAGCAGCTGGTGATGCGGGCTGCACCTGGGGAGGAGGCACCTCATCGGATTCTCCCTGCATGGTAGTAGATGAAGCAACCTCTGCTGTAGGAGAAATGGTGATCACATCCCAAGGCCAGGAATCCTCCACTGTGTTCAGCTCCTCGAAAAGCTGGCTTCCATCTTGGGGAATCTCCTCATCCTGGCCCCCAGGAATGTCATCTGAACCAGGAAGTCTCTCCCACACACTGAGCACTTCTGGGGAGCTGAACAGAGATGCCCCGCTGTCTGCTGGACTCTGCCCCATTCCCACTTCTGAGGCAGGAAGCTCCGGGTCTGGTGCTGAGGCTGAGGCTCGCAGGTGCAAATGGGCTGCTCTGGAGGATGGGCCAGTCCCTGAAGACCCAAGGGGTCCTGGGTCAGACACACTTGTGCTTGGCTGGTCCAGTCCTGAGGCCACAGGTACCCTCGGCTCCAGCCATATGCTGTTTCCACCTCCTCCCCCAGATTCTCTCTGGGTCTCTGTTGCTTTCACTGCCATGGTCCCAGGGCCTGGGTCTTGCAGCCCATCCTCCTCTGGCCCCATTTCTGCAGGGGCCAGAATATCACTCCTGGCCTCTGGCTGCAGCCTGCCAGCAGCAAAGATGTTGAAGGTGTCGTCCCACTCAGGCAGGGCTTTCCCAGGGGAGGCCAGGGGGGCCAGCCTGGCCCTCGAGGCACTGGGGAGAGAGGGAGCAGGTGAAGGAGAATTTAGTGCTATGTCGGCTTTGAGCTCCTCGAAGAAGGGGTTGCTCTGCAAGGAGGTGAGGAATGGGTTGGTGACCCCCAAGAATCCAGATGGGGTGGCTTCAGGGACAATGGTGGCAGCAGCGGCAGTGGCAGCAGCAGGGGAGGTGGCTGCAAAAAGGTTAGTGCTTAGCATGGGAGCAGCGGTGGGAGCAGGAGTAGGGGGGGCCAGAGCCTGGGGGGAGCAGGGGTGAGGAGGAGCGGCTGGGTCAGATTCTACCTGAGGAGACACGTCCAGGCTGTGGAGAAGACAAAACCATGAGCCTCCTGGTTAATGCTGAGACTGGAAATATCCCTGCCAAGTACCATCCCCACCCCCACCTCCAGGCCAGGTGCCTCACCATCACACGGGTTATATGCGGCCACATGACCCGGGGACCAAATGAAGGAAGGCCCCAATATTATGAGGGACCAAAAGGAAGGATGCTGGGAGAGCTCATGGACAAAGACAGGACTAACAGAACCAAGCAGGGTGCCAGGGATTGCAAACTGAAATAGACCATGTTCCACTGAGCTCTTGCAGGAAGGGGTAAGGATGGGGCTGTCATCAGGTATGACAATGTATCTAAGAGAGCTCACCCCTTTCGTTTCATGGGGAGGGGGCACAAAAACTGGCTAAGGAGCACATGGCATCTGCTGGGTACACCCACTGCCAGCAGACAACACACATGCTCACTTTACCCCTCTTGTGGGCCAACCTCGGGAGATGTGATAAAGGGGTACACACTGAACTAAGAGCCTTTGCTTCCCCAGGACATAGACAGAATCTAGAACACAATAAGAGAGGAAAGCCAACAGAACACTCTAGTGTGAGCAGACTGGCAGGGGCCTGACTTGCGGTCAGAGCCCAACTCTGATGGCCTCACCCCTGCTCTCCAGTGGGGTCCCTCCTCACAGGCAGCTTTTCAGTTCTCCAAGCTCCTGGAGCCCTCTTACTTCACCCTTCCTACATAAATGCGAGCATCTAGGGAACCTCCTCCTATCCATCTCTCCCACTCAATCGGCAACTTCACAGACAGCACTAGTGGTGAGCTGAGGCAGCTCTGCTAGCCAGGCATAAAAACGGGGGGGGGCGATTTGTGGCAGGAGGGCAGAGGCTGGGCTGTCAGGAGCTTGCCACACTCTTGCAGGACTCAAGGGCTAGACTAGACAGGTTGTACACAGGGCCTGATAGGCAACAGGAAAGCATCCAGGTTCACAAAAACAAGCATGGAGGAGGAGGTCAGTCTCCTCAGCAGGACACAGATTTTCCTAAGGATTTAGCTTTCAAAGCTGAACATGGTGGTGTACCCCCATGAGGAGGTGAAGGCAGGAGGATCAGAAGCAGGGTCATCTGCACCTCAATTACACGACACCCTGACTTAATACGTCAATAAATTTACAGGAGGTTGGGGCTGTGATTCAGTTGGTGGCATGCTTGCCCAACATGCATGAAGCTCTGGGTTCCATGCCCAGCGCTGCATTAACCCTAGCACTGGGGAGGAAGACCGAAGACCAAGGTCATACTCAATATACACAGCAAGTTCAAAGGCAATCTGTGATAGATCGAGTCCCTGCCTTCAAAAAGGAAGGAAGGAAGGAAGGAAGGAAGGAAGGAAGGAAGGAAGGAAGGAAGGAAGGAAGGAAGGAAGGCTAGACGTGGTGGCACACACCTTTAACCAGCACTTGGGAGGCAGAGGCAAAAGGAGGCAGGAGGATTTCTGAGCTGAAGCCAGCTGGTCTACATAACAAGTTCTAGGGCAGAAAGGTTACAGGGTGAGACCCTGTCTCAAAACAACAAAGTAATTTTTTAAAATTCAGCTCTCAAGGATTCTTGTGAGCTTACTTGTCCCCTAGAATAGCTCCAACCGAGCAGGAAGGCGGAGTCTCAGGCTGCTCCCCACCTCTAGACAGTGATGGAGACGGAAGGGAGGCAAAGTTCCCAGTCCCACCTCCAGCTCCCAGCACTGTTCTGCTTCTACAGACAGGGGAAGACACTGAAAGGGGAAAACTCTGAGCCTGGGGTCCCAACTCCCACAGATGTCTCCTCTCCCGTCCCTCCAGGCAGGTCTCAGGACAGAGGCACAGATCTAGCCCTGGAAGTTAGGGGAATAAGAAGCAACACACTAACCACCACTTGAGTCACAGCCCTGTTTGAGGCATCCATAGCACCCAAGCTACATCCCACAGCGGGGCTGGGGTGCTCTGAACTCTGAACGACACAGCCTCTCTCTGGGCCTCTCATGATGATAGTCCTAATGACCCCATCAGCACAGCACAGCAGCAATCTCAGGCCTGCCTGACAAACCCACACACACATACACACACTCACCCTCAGGCTCACAGCAATCTGCTGCCAGTCAGACTGCAGGGACAAAGGCACCAGGGAAGCACCACTAGGAGCCCCAGGCTCTGTCAGCAGCCTCCTCCCCACCGTGGTTCCCCAGAGATGCACACAAACCGGTTGGTATGGAATCAGCAAAGGGCTCTCTCTTGAGGCCAGGGTTCTAGGCAGCAGGCCCAGCAGGTTTCCCAGAGCCAGCAGGCTCGCTGACACCCAGCCTGTGCTCGACCTCAGAGGCCCTCCATCCTCACTCTCCTTGCTCCACCCCAAACACACATTCTTTTGGTAGTGAGCCTAGCCTTTAACAGCTGAGCCATCCCTACAGCACAGATGCTGAAGGCCACTGCTCCTGCCCTGCCAGGGTGCATTCCTTTGTGTGGTCTCCTCACAGGCTGTGTCCTGTGAACACCCCGCACCCCGGAGCCAGCCTGGCACAGCCTCCCCCTCCCAAATAGGGCACAACATATGCTGATTTGTCTCCCTCAGGCCGAAATATTGGGAAGAGAAGTGAGAGATCAAGCAGCCCTGTCTCTTCAACCCATGGAAACAAGCCTCAGGACCCATAGAAACCTTAGGACACTAGTTGACCTGCCATTTGATGTCACTCACCAATTTACAACGCTTCTCCCCACCCCCACCCTTCGCTTTAAAGTTTTTTTAAGATAGTGTCTCTCTATGGAGCCCAGGTTGGTCTCAAACTCACAGCAATCCACCCGCCAGGGCCTCCTGAGTGCTGGGATTACAGGCATGTGCCACCATCCCCAGCTGCCCTTCTCATCCTTAAAAACCACACCCTGGGGCCATCTCTGGAGAAAGCAGGTTTCATTACTAGATGAGGAGCTCTGTGTTCCGTACAGAGTCGCAGAGGTGGCAAGTGGCTGTATGAAGGCTGCCCACCCGTCCTCAAAGGTTAAAGCCAGCCTTTCAGACCCTATCTGACCTGTAGACAATGTATCCCTTGGCCAATCATTACTCCTGAGTTTTGGGAGCTCCTGACACCTCCGAAGATGTGCCCCAATTCCCAGGAAACATGTCCAGGAAGTGTGCTTATCCTCTTATCATCAGAATAAATAAATGAGGGGACACAGAGGACCTTCCAAGCCATACCACAGCTAACAGCGTAACCATTCTGGGAAAACAGTCTCAGATGGGACAGGAAATATGCTGTCCCCAGGCAGAGGGCACTTCAGATGATCCACTCTTTCCACAACCACCAGACACCCATCTACCACACCTGGAAGGGCTGGGCAGTCACCGAAGTGCTAAGTGCCATTTACTAACACCCCTGGCTCTAAGTTGCAGATTACCCCCAAGTTAAATATATGTTTGCATTAGTATTTGATCCCTTTCTGTGTTCAAAGGTTGCTGTGAGAGAAAGGAACAAAAATCAAGGCACTCTTGCACAGGGAGACCTAGCATGTGTGGCCTGTCTTAACTCAAGCACAGGGCACAGCCATGTCACAGACCAAAACCAATGGCTCAGCAGGTCCTGTGGCCCAGGTGAGGCTCAGTCCCTTCCGGACCCCTCTCTGGCTCACATCAGCAGGGATCAAGGGTAACAGCCACATGTCAACAGAGGCATACCGTGTCAGGGGGACCAGGAGGATCATCCTACTGAAATCTACAACGTTGCCTCAAGCCTCTCCACGGAGCACAAATGCCATGCAGAGTCACTAGAGGGCGCCGCTGCACTTACTCAAACTTTTAGGATTTGTGACAGTGGTCCCAAGCCCCAAGGCCTGTGGGCTGGCTCTCCAGGTTCCAGGTAGAGATCCTCCAGCTGTAACCAGTTACAGCAGTTCTAGTTCTAACCTGCGGGTGCTGCCCTGAGCTGTCTTGTCTCTCAGCTTTCTCCCGAGAACTCTAAACAAGCATTCCAACCAACAACTGCTCCTCTTGGGCAAGCTTTAACTTCTGCTACAGGCACCCGCTACAGTGCTGGAGCTGGGGGCTCACAGTCCCTGAAGGTGGCTCCTCTTGCCCTACCTGTGAAGCTGCCACCTACAAGTGGCCCAAGGCAAGCAGGCAGGGTGCTTTAGGTACCCTGGCTTGTGATGAGACCAGGAAAGAAATCCCCTCTACCTTCTGTCAATCAAAGACCTAACTTTTCTAGCGTCTGAGAGGCTGTTAGGAGTCAGAGAAGCATAAAGAAAGCAGACAGACAGAAACTAGAAGGGAAACTAGAACTTCACAGCCTTCTATACACCCAGTGGGCAGGAGAGGCAGACTTGCTGAGGGGAGAAACAACTGGCCCCAAGACACTAGGTGGGACTGCCAACAATGCTGGGCACCAGGACAGACTTCTGACCTGCCCATGGAGAGCCTCCTTAGGGCCCTGCCAAACAATACATCATTGCCCTGTCTTGGAGTAACATGGGGTGGGGGCCAAAGACTAGAACCAAGGGAGAGAGAGGCCTGGGCACTTTCCCAACAGAGCAGAGTCACCAGCACTCCCAAAAGAGCTCAATAAACACTGGGCCAGGGTTCAATTCCTAGCAACCACACAGCAGCTCACAATTGTCTATAACTCAAGTTCCAAGGAATCTGACACCCTCTCACAGATATACAATGCAGGCAAAACACCAATTTACATAAAAATAAATAAATCTTTTTTAAAAAGGAACCGCTAGGCTTCGGTGGGGAGACTTATTTCAAGGGAGTTGCTATGGTCTCTTTCCAGGCTAGGAAGCCAGTAGGGGAGAAAGGAAGGACGGATGCAGGAACAACTATTTAACTCTTGTCCCTCAGGGGAACAAGACTCCAGAGCCAAGTGGGCAGCAAGGGGAAGTCTTCTAGCTTCAGCCAGGGTAAGGTGTCTGAAGGCACAGTCTCCAGTCTCAAGGCTTCCTTACCTTAGGCTGAGGAAGCAAGAGATGTAGGCCAGGAAACCAAGAAGCCCCTCCCTTTGTACTACCAATTCAAGCATCAGGGCCTGGGCCCACCTCGATCCATGGGACCCTCATGGCACCATGTCCTTGTGACTCACCTGTGTCAGTGGGCACAATATGAGTCTCGGCTCAGGAAGACAGGATACCCCATTTTACCATGCAAAGCTAGAGCTCAGGCAGCCTGCTCCTTGCTATTCCCAGCCTCAGGCCTTGGGGTCAAACACCCAACCTCCTCCACAAAGAGCAAATATGTACCTGGGCTTCTGAGTTGGTTCCTTGGATTCTCTCAGGCCAAACCAGCTACTCTTGGCCTTTTCCTCCCCGGTGGATGAGTGGTGGGGGGAGGCTCCCAGAGAAGGACTCCCTTTCTCTCCAACTGAGCCACGGCGCCCCAGCTCATTTCTGCTCAGCCCCTGGTGATGGTGGTGGTGGTGATGATGGAAAAGCCCCATCCTGGGCTTCCGCTCCTTCTCTGCCACAGCCTCAGAGGATGCCACCATGGGTGTGGCAACCTGGACCGGCTTTCCCTCTGGAGGCAGGGCACCCTCTTCCTCTCCAGAGCAACTGGTCCCCAGGGCCAGCACTTTGGCCTGAGTGCTCAGTTCCTCCTGTCCAGGTACTGCCTCTGAGCTGCTGGTGCCACGGCTGCCTCTTCCCCAAGAGTCATCTGATGGCCGAGGCCCCTCCTCAGAAGGCCGAGGCGGGACACTGTGTAAGGTGCTTGAAGGTGGAAAGGGGCCTGAGATGGAGCTGCGGTGTCGTATGGGGGGCTGAGGCTCCTCATTGTACACATGGCTCCCGTTGACACAGAGCGAAGAGCGGGAGGCACCATCAAGGTGGCCTTGGAGCTCAAGAAGAGCCCAGGGAGGAGCTGCGCGCAGCTGGCTGGCCTCATCACTGTATGTCCTCTTGTGCGTGAGCAGCTTGGGGGACTGTGTAGAGTCCCGACCTGGAAAAGAAACGTGAACTGTGTCAGCGCCTGGAAAGAAGAGCCCTGCCTCTCTGCCTGAGGCCTTCCTCACCACCTGGGGAGAACCCACCCCCTCCTTGCTCACCCCCTTCAGTGGACAGCCAGCTGCTGTGGCTTGGTGAGCGGGTGAGGAGCTCGGCTCCAGGGCCTTGGTAGACCAGGCTGCCGCTAGTAGAGGACAGGGTGCTGTCGGAGCCCAGTGAGGTATTGGACTGCGTGAGCGAGGACTTGCGTAGCTTGTTGCGGAGGAAGAAACCTTTGGCTTTGCCCATCTTGCCCAGGTTGCCCAGCTCAGGGTCCTCCAGGGCGCTGCTTGGGAGAATAGCTGAGGCAGATTCTAGCTCATACTTCTTCTTGCCCTTCACCTTGTCCTTGAGCTTGCTGAATGGAGACCGGGGCTTGTCCTTCATGGACAGGTCAAACATGCTGGCACTCAGGTTGTTTCGTGTGAACTGGATGGTCACCTGGATCTCACCACGCTCCTTCTCCTTCTTGCCAGGCTTGGAGTGCAGCTTGTACCACCTAAGAAGAGAAGAAGCACGACAGAGCTCTGGTCACAGGCACCTCAGAGCCCCTCCTTACCTCTGAAACCAGTTATAGACCTATCCCCACACCCACCAGCTCCTGCGCTGGCACACAAACCTGTGTTTTGGAACTACCAATATAACTGAGAAACTCCCAGACTGGCCTATGATGGAGAAAACCACATTCTGAGTTTGGAACGCTCCTCGGGTACCAATTGAGCAGGGCAGCAGTGACCAGGCCAGAGCCCCTCCCACCTATTGCTTTCCTGGAGCTTATGGACCTCATCACCTCTACCTGTAACTGTGAAGCCCAAAGGGGTGAGGCATAGCCTGTTGAGAACTGCCCTGTATCCAGGCCCCTGTATAGACAGCCCTAGACATGATTCACATTATCTCCTCCGGCCAGTCCCAGCAGAGGTCTACTCTGAGCCACCAAAAAAGAACACACAGAGGCCCAGACACTAGTGTATGCACGCACACTCCTCACCCATACACTGACTCACCCCAAGCTCTGCCAAGAATACTTCTGTGAGGTGGAAGAGCAGACAGGCATGCCTGAGGCCTGAGGCAAGAGGGAGAGGCTCCATCCACTCTCCTTCTCCACCCTAGCCCTGCCGGGTTCTCCCCAAAGGGGTTCCATCACTCTATCCTACAGATTGCCGGTGAGGTTCGGACTCAGAACAGTAGCCAGGCAAGGAAAGGGACACATCACCCCCAAACCTATGTCCCTCAGACATACTCTTTCCAGACAGTCACAGGGACAAGCCCTACTTTGCCCATAATGGCTCCAGGTGTGGAGAAGGGTGACATTCTGCTTTGTTAGTTTTTGTTTTAGAGACCCCAGGCTGTCCTTGAACTTACTATTTAACTGAAGTTTATTGTGAACTCTGCCATCCAAGTGCCAGGATGACAGCTGTGCACCACCATGCCCACCTACCTCTGCACCTCCCTGAAGACTGAATATACTGTTGACATGCAAGGAGCAATTGGACTTCTTGGTTGTTACCTGTTGGGGTGCCACCTTGTGTCCACCAAATACTCTCTCACAGAAATTGATAGCACCTCTACTTTGCAACAGCCCAAACTTGTAAGTTGCCAAGATGCCTTCAATAGGTAAATGAATAAACACACTGCTACAGACAGTGGATTTTCTTTTTTCTTTTTCTTTCTTTTTTCAAGACAGGTTTTCTCTATGTAACATCCCTGACCTTCCTGGAGCACTCTTTGTCGACCAGGCTGCTCTCGAACTCACAGAGATCCACCTGCCTCTGCCTCCCGAACTCTGTGAGTTCGAGGCCGGGGCTGGACCAACAGCCTCTAAAACAATACAGAGAAACCCTGTCTCATAAAACCAAAAAAAAAAAAAAAGGCGTGTGCCACCACAACCCAGTCAGACAGTGAAATTTTATGCAATGATAAACAAAAATGAGCTACAGAGCCATGAAAAGACACAAAGAGATTTGCAAACACATAGGAGAAAGAAGCCAACTTGACAAGGCTTCATAGATTCCACTGTATGTCATTCAAGAAAAGACAAGACTATCAAGACAACAAAAAGATCAGGGTGGAGCATAACAGGCAGTGCACATCTGTAAACCTACCACTTGAGATGCTGAGGCAGGAGAACCACTGAATGCCTGAGGTCAGTCCAGGCTATAAATGATCTCAAAGAAACTCAAAACAAAACAAAGAAAAGACATCAGTGGCTGGCAGGAGAATGAGGGAGAGAAACAGGAATGAACAAGCAGAGAATTTTTATGAATGAATGAGGAATTTTTAGAGGGGTGAGACTATCCTAATGACGCCATCATGGTAAATGGTACCACTGTATTTGCCAGAACCCAAAGAATGTGCAATACATGGTGACATGTGTCTGTTACACCAGGGCTGAGGGAGAGGAGGGTCCCTGAACTCACTGGTCAGCCACTGTGGATAGTTGGAGAATTCTAGGTTCAAAGAGAGATACTGTTTCAAAATAAGGTGGGGAGCAATAGAAAAAGAGCCTGAAATTGACTTCTGACCCCACCACACACACATAGACACACAAACACACAAACAGACACAAACACACACACACACCCATCTATAGGTGACTTATTTGTCAATCACAAAGAGGAAAAGGTGTCTTTTTGAAGAGGTTGGATCACATCTTTTAGCTGAGTTCCAGCTTCTTAAACTGAGGGTTGTGAGCCCCATAGAGAGACTGAAGGTGGAGTTGTGAAAAATTTAACAAGAAAGATCTGTGAATAAGTAAAACCAAAACTTACTTCAAAATCAAACCTAAATGAACCCAAGGTGTTATTGCCTCAGACACCTTTGCTGCAGCCTCAGCTCTGAACTCCCCACAGGCACACTTTTCACTGTTCACACTCGTCACACCACACACCAGACAGTGCTGTCCCAAATGCCTCAGCTCAGATTGCAGACTACTGCATGTTATGACTCTCCATGTTATTACTGCGTACACAAAGTTTTCTGGTTTTAGAGAATCATAAGTTTAATCATAAACACAAAGACTTCACATTTCCCTGCCTCCATTCCTCGGCATGTGAGTATTACAGTGTGTCTCTGGGATGTATTAGAATGTTTGACTTAAGAGTTGTTGATTGAGGGCTGGAGAGATGGCTCAGTGGTTAAGAGCACTGACTGTTCTTCCACAGGTCCTGAGTTCAATTCCCAGCAACCACATGGTGGCTCACAACCATCTGTTATGAGATTCGGTATCCTCTTCTGACTAGCATGCAGGCAGAACACTGTATTCACAATAATAAATAAAATCTTTTTAAAAAAAAAAGAGTTGCTGATTGAGCCAGGCAGTGGTGGCATATGGCTTTAATCCCAGAACTCAGGAGGCAGAGGTAGGCAGATCTCTGTGAGTTCAAGACCAGCCTGGTCTACAAGAGCCAATTCTAGGACCGCCTCCAATGCCACAGAAAAACCCTGTCAAGAAAAAGCAAAAATTAAAAAAAAAAAAGAGTTGCTGTTTGAGGTCTGGGAGGACGGTGCAGTTAGTAAAGTGATTGCCACTCAAGCATGAAGACTGAGGACCCAGTTTGAGCCTCAGCTCCCATGTGGAAAGCAGCCGGTTCAGTGACATGGACTTGTAAATCTGGCACCAGGGAGGCAAAGGCGGGCAGATCCCTGATGCTCACTGGCCAACCAGCTTAAGCCAACCATTAAGGTCAGCCAGAGACTGTTAAAAAGCAAGGTGGACGGCTCCTAAGTAATGACACTCAGTGTAGTCCTCTGGCCTCTACACACACACACACACACACACACACACACACACACACACACACACACACACACACACTTGCACAACCAACCCATATGCATTTGTACACATACAAACACACATACAAAAATTCCTTTTAGAGTTGACTGTGTTTTTTATTTAAAAACAAAGATTAAATTTTTTAGAAAGAATAGGCTTAATATGGAATCAATTTATACTTTAACAAATGCTTAAAATTAAAAACCATTAACTGAATTTTGGTGGAATTAGAACACTTTCTAGGAATTTTTGAAATGGCCCTAAACATACTTCTGCCACTTTGCAGAATGTATTTATGTGAAGTGGTGATCTCAGCATTGCTTATGAAATCAAATTATCTGTCAGCTCTGTAAACTGTTGAAGATGTTCTACATTCTGCAATGCCAGATATCCAGCCAAGATTTATTATTGGTATTATTAGGGTTTGTTCTGTGGGAAAAGTTTCACTATATATCTTTGGCTAGCCTGAAATTCATTATGTAGACCAGGCTGGCCTGGAACTCACTCTGTAGAGCATGTTGGGCTAAAACTTGCAGCAATCCCCCTGCCTCCTGAGCATCACAGGTACATGCTGTGCCCCACTGAGATTTAATTCTTTGTGTAAAAATAAATACCTCCAGCTCATTAGTGTGCAAGGTTGCTTTCCTTTTTAATAAATGTAAATGATGTCTATAAAATTATTTTAAAATAAAAATTTTTTAATCAACATTTTAAACATTTTACTTTGCCGGGCGGTGGTGGTGCAGGCCTTTAATCCCAGCACTCGGGAGGTAGAGGCAGGCCGATCTCTGTGAGTTCCAGGCCGGGCTGGACCGACAGCCTCCAAAACAATACAGAGAAACCCTGTTTCATAAAAAAAAACAAAAAAAAACCAAAACAAAAAAAGAACATTTTTACTTTATGTGTATGGGTGTTTTGCCTGCATGTATGTCTGTGTACCACACATATGCAGGTGCCTCCAAGACCAGAAGAGGGCATCAGATCTCCTGGACCTGGAGTCAGGCAGTTGTGAGGCACCATGTGGATGCTGGGAACCAAACCTGTGTCCCCCTGCAAGAGCAGCCAGTGCTCTTAACCACGGAGCCATTTCTCTAGTCCCTCTCTGTTTTTCCCCCTTTGAAGACTCATTCTATGGGGCTGGGTGGGAAATGCACATTCAGCTAAGCATATGCTAAGACTGGAATTGTACAGCGATCATTGTGACTCCTGCACAAGGATAACATGCAACTTTATGAAGCATCCTATTAAAAAACAGGAAGAAGAAAAACACAAGTTTAGTCACTACATAATAACCCATCACATGGTCATGCTATGCATTTTAAAAACAATTTTCTAGTCGGGCATTGGTGGTGCATGCCTTTAATGCCATCACTCGGGAGGCACAGGTAGGCAGATCTCTGTGAGTTTGAGGCCAGCCTGGTCTACAGAGAAGTTCTAGGACAGCCTCCAAAACAATGAAAAACCCTGTCTCCAAAACACCAAAAAAAAAAATTCTATTATTGCCCTTTCAGACGACTTCAGGTCTTAAAAAAATTAAGTTACATTTTAATTTAGTGAGTGTGTATTTTGCTGGGGGGGGCAATGTATGTTTATGTGCCACAGTACAGATGTGAGGTCAGAGAACAACTTTTGGGAGTTGGCTTTGTCATGTGGTGTGGGGCTGGGGAATAAACTCAGGTGTTCAGGCCTGGCGGTAACTGCCTTTACCTACTGAGTCACCTTGC